CCTGCTCATCAGCGTACAGACATCTACTAATTCCAGGCAGGAAGTAAAAAGGAATCTTGTCTCCAGAAGAAAGGCAAGAATCCAGGGATACTTGTAGTCCCTACAGCACATTCCCCTCCTTTCCTTAGGGGGCGGCCAAATGCCAGAGAAGGAAGAAACCTCAAAAGACTCCAAACACCAGAAAAGGAAACAGCCTCTATCGACTTTTGGTCTTAAATGCTTTTAAATAGTTTTAAAACCACCTGGGATGAGAGTAAGCGCCAAGCAAAGAAGAGTCAGTTTAAAGAAACCTAAGGCAGGAAGAAGTCAATCCTGGTGATTTCAAGTCATCCCTAGGCCGATTCATGGCTAAATTCCAATGCATTAATTTCAGGTGGTAAAACCATTCCATTTCATGGGCCCTGTACCATGTTACCCTGACAGCAGTGTGTGGAGCGCGGGCAAGGTCCCGGAGACCCGGCTCGCCGCTGGGCTCTGCCCTCTCTGCTCTATGACTTGAGATGACTGAACGGCTCAGTGCATCTGCTTTTCTCACCATGGCAGTGACGAGCAGTGTTGGAAGGACCAGAGGTCAGGTCGCTGAAACCTCCAGGCCAGCTCCTGGCCACAGTGGGCACCCCATAACTGGTGGGCACGATGGCTCCCATTCCTGCTTTACTCTATCTTTTGAGCAAAGAAACAGAATTCAAAGCAGATGGCCACAAACAGACTTCTCCCCGAAAACCACAAGCAGGTGAATCACCATTAGCCGGGAAGATTCTGCCAATGTGGGGTTAATGAAATGAACCACAACTGTATTCCACTGACATCTGAGGGAACTACTGAGAAAGGATGTGGCATGGTTACTCGTTCCAAGGACCTGGTTGGTTGGCAGAACAGGCCTTCTCTTTGCCCTCTGAGCTGGCTATTCTCAGGACTGCTCTTTGCATCTCAAAATTATGTTCCAAATCTTCCTTTCTCCTTCTACTTGGTCACTTCCCCAGCCACGGCTGGAGCCATTTACTATCTGCGCAAGTCAGGTGACCTGGGCAGTGCTCCAATCTTGTGTCTAGGACACCTACCTGGCTCGAATCTGCTGTGTCCCCTCATCTCCACTGTTGAAAAAGAAAATGTTTTGCATCGTGTGGACTTCATGGAGAATGTATGGAGATTAAAATTAGTGGGAGTGATCTTAAACACACTCACTTGACATAAACAGGAGCATTGAGATGAAATTAAACAGGTGTTGAGGTGTAATTTAGGCAGTGGCTAGCAGGTGAGGGAAGAACAGGTAGTAATTCATCCTTCGTCAGGAAGAACAAAGGGAAAAGAAGGATCTTAACCTCAGCTACCCCCCAAGACTTCCCCAGAGTCCTCCCGGGAGCCCTCCCCAGCAACCCAAGGCAAACACACAAGGCACAAGATTTCCCCCCCCCAGCCTCCCCATGAAATAACTCAGTGTTGGGGGGCGATGTAGCCTTTTAAAGCAGATCTCTTATCAAGAAACACTCCAATGAGTCACTGGTGTCAGACTTTGTGTCCAAAGACTTATCTGCCGCAGGCCCACACACAAGTGGGCAGAAGTACGAAAATTTTACTAGAAACTCAAAGAACGAAATACAAATGAAAAATCCAGGCTTGAATCATGGGTTGAACACAATGAAAAAACAAGATTCTGGCTGCCAAACCTCTCCCACCTGGCTTGCATAGTTCGCATCTGGGCCTGGCGTCAATAGCATCTTTGTAGCCCAGATGGCCAGCACCGCCATCCTAAGGGCTCCCGGCTCCAGGGGGAGGCTGAATGAGGGAGAGGGAAGGAGGGAGAGGGGGAGAGAGCGAATGTGTGCACCTCTACTCCACTCGAACCCAAAGTCCTTAGTCCTTTATAGATTGACCAGCATAATTTTCAAGCCATGAATCCAGAGAAAATCACATTCTTTATGCCTCTATCTTCTTCTCTGATTCTTCCTACAGATGCCTAACCAAAAATCTGTATTCAGAAGTACAAAAGAACTACTGTCTCACTGCCATAGTCTGCAAATCGCGTGGTGTATTCCTGCCAGACGCGTGCGCGCCCGTGTGCACACCCACCCACACCCTAACAAGGCTCCACTCCTCCCTCACACCCTGTCTTCCAACCACTCCCGCAGCACAGACCACGCCCACCCCACAGATGCACCACAGCTGTGCTTTCTCTCCTCCTGCACCTTCTCTCTCGCCCTCTTGTGTACACAGGTGCCAACAGGGACATATGCCAGGTGGGAAGCTGAATGAAATCGCCCCGGGCGGGGCAGTAAATGACTAGGTAGGTCTGGGGAGAAGGGAGGAGCTTCTCCGGAAGGAAACAGGACACAGGTGGAAGAAACACGGGGTGGGGGGAGTGGAGAGGTAAGGAGGAAAGAGAAAGTCTAGACAATTTCTCCCACATGAGAAGTTCTGTGATATGTTCTGGATATTTGTAAAGAAGCCAGTATTCACTTTATTATTTTTGGTGTCACAGGCTAAGGAAGGACAAACGTCTCAGTGGGCCCAGGTTACTAGCACTATGCTCTAACCCACTGAGCCACCGGGCCACTCTTGGTGGACCAAGATTCAATAGTAACACATGGCAGATCTGCCTCAGCAGAGTCAGGGGAACACCGAACTAAAACCAGGAGATATAGCCTGGTCCCATGACTGTCCCCAGCTCATTGGGCAACGGAGGACCGGCATCTCAGCTCTCTAGACCATGACTTCCTCACCCACCACGCAAGGGACTGTGCAGCTCTGAGTCCTGGTGGACCCCTGGGGGACCCGGAAACTTCCACTTGGGGAGATGTGCCCTGTAATTTTCACTTTACAGAGGACTATCAGAGTACTTCTACAAGATGCCAAGTGCCATCCTGGACTGGGAAAGATGACAAAAGAGAGGTAAGTTAAATGGCAGGGAATAACAATGCTTTCCAAAAAACCAAAAAACCACCAACCAAGGGGAAACACTCATTCTCTTCCCTGGCCTCTCCCACTGCTCCTTCCCTTCCTCTCCACTCCCCAGACACGGTAATGATAAAAAGTTGGGGGACAGAGCGTCAGGCAATGCAGTACACCAGAAAGAACACTGGACTTAGAGTCAAGGGTGGACTGGTTAGTAGCTCCGAATTACTTACTCATCCTTTCTCTGCTTGCTCCTGGATGACCTGGGCATCAACGATGCTCACAATTACATGAAACGCCACTAAGAGTAAATGCCTGCACAGTGTCCAAGTATCAGTTACAATCCTTTCTTTCCACACTAATCTTAATCTGAAAACCTTGCCATAGACCCACCCTTGTATGTACCTACATCACACCATCACACTTACAAATATTCCATATACCCAAACCTGGCCAAACCACAGTCACAGCTGGGACCGACAAAGCAGCGGAAGGGTCCCAGCTCTGCTGTGCTCCTTGATGTCATCAACTCCATCTGTGGTTAGTGTAGGATTTTTTTCTCCTTCCCCTCCCAACACTCTGCTGCCAGAGCTACCACTGCTGAATCAGACCCTTCAGTGTTCCCTTGCTGTTTCTTCTAGTGATCCTTCTGCGTTTCCCAGAATGAGTCCCAAGCCTGCATCTATTCACCTGTAGGTGATGGGGTAGGGCTTAGGGAATATTATTAGTTAATACAACGTATCTGTTTTTGTCTAGCAATAAGGATCACTTTGGTCAAAAGAGTACCTTTTCAAATTACTGGTATCTGGGAGTCCTAATCATACCAGTCGAACAGGAGGTGTTAAAAAAAAAAAAAAAATACCACTATGTACTACAGGTAGAAGAGGTTAGTACTATCTCATGGAATATCAGTCAGTAAAGCGTGTATGAGTGCACTGTGATGTGAAATTAACTTCTAAGAGTGGGTCACCCTCAAAGAAGTTTCAAAGCCCCACGGCCAAGGAACAAAAACGAGTCAGAAAGGCCTAGTCCCTCCACCTGCTGGCACTCTTTCTTTCTGAGTCTTGCTGGTTTAGAATCCCTGGCCCTAGTTAGGTGACCCGGCCAGGTTAACTGCGTCTTTCGGCACCTGAAGATCCCAACCCTTTCCCCATGGCAGCCCATCCGGGGATTCAGAGCCCATCCCTCGAGCACCAGGAGGAAGCAGATCTTGTCCCTCACTAACAGGCACTCTGCATTCCAGGACTCCAATGGGGAGTTAGGGTCAGAAAAATGCCTGGGTTTCCTAAAACCCCATAACAAGGATTAGCAGCCCTGCTTCCTTCAGTACTGAGAGCAGATGCGCTGGGGCTTGACGCCCCTCACCGCCGCCTGAGAATTTCCGAGGAAGCATATTCACTCACTTTTGACCCCCCATGAAGTTTCTTACCGTTCACTTGGACACTCTGGGTGGCTAAGTCCAAGATTATTTTAGATAACCCTTTAATTCTCCAAATCAACCAGGAAGAGTCTACTTGAGGAGGCTTCTCCTTTAATCCGTCTCCAGCTTAATCCCTCAATACCATCCCTTAATGCTCCCTGCACGGATTCCTCAAAATGTGTTGTCAGAGCGAGTGAACTTGGCTGCTTGGAAAGTTACCGTGCGGGGAGCGATGGGGAGCGAGGGCGGGGCAGCAGAGAACCTGGGAGCTCGGTACAACCCGTTACAGGAGTTCACCTGGGGGGCGTTTCTGCTCTTGATGGGGAAAAAACCTTTCAGCAAAGCAACAAAACAAAAGCCAGCGCGCCCGTGGCCGCACATAGGATCGGCCAGCATTGGAGAAGTGCAAACAAGGCTGTGGGGAGGGGGGCGCGGACCGCGGCTCTGCAGGAAGGCCGCGGGACGGGAGGAGAGGGGTCCGGAGGACGCAGGGAACAAAGCCCCGCGTCCCGCGCCCAGACCTCGCGGGGGCACTCTGTTCGCTCGGACGGAGCCAGGCGGCGGGGTGGGGGGGTGCAGGTGTGTGGGTGCGGGTGCGCGCGCAGCGAGCCCCTCCCCCCGCCGCCCCCAAAGCCCGGGGGTGGACGACTGTCTCCCGCCCCCCGCCCCCCTCCGGAGCGGCCCTCACCCGAGCGGGGATCGAAGGTGACCACGAACACGGCCACCACCTGGTCCTCCTCCACGTCGCCGAGCTCCAGGCGCCCGGGCTGCAGCAGCACCTCGGAGGCGCCCAGCTCCTCGGGCTCCCGCCTCCTGGGCGGCTCCGCCGCGGGCCGGCCGCCCCCGCCGCTGCCCCAGCCCCGGCCTCCAGCCTGCAGCTCCGGGGCCTGCGGCGGGGACACGGCGGGGCCCTCGGCCCAGCGCAGCAGCGGCGCCGCGTCTCCCCGCTCCACCATGGCGAAGCGAGGAGGAGCCGCGGGCGGCGAGGGGCGGGCGCAGGGGCGGGCTGCGGGACCTCCCCTCGCCGGGCCGGGCCCGGCCGCCGCACCGCCCGAGGCCGCACCTGCCCCGCGCCGCCCCGCCCCGCCCGCGCGAGTCCCGCGTCCGCCCCACCCGCTTCGCCGAACTGCGTGCGGAGTTTGGATTCACGCATGCATGTGTGTGCCCGCGTACAGGAAACGTCCCGTGGCACGGACGCGCGTCCACCTGGCTCCGTCCACCTGCGCTGGGCTGACGTGCCCTCTCACCTAGGATCCCGTCGATAACTGTACCACCGTGCATGTCTACACGCCATCATTATTTTTGTCATTCCCCTGGTCATATGGACCGTGACAAAAATGTGTTACATAATCCTGGAAGTGCGGCTAAAGCTAGCGCTGTGCTGGGAAGTGAAGCAGAAGAGGCAGCCCCGGCCGTTCTGATGGTATTTGGACTTGGGCCTGGCTTCCCGGAGCTGTGGGCTTTGGTATTTGGCCGGAAGTAGTTGTATCTCTAACCCAGTCTGCTGTGCCCTTGACTGAGCTGGATAGTGCCCAGCCCTGGCCTTCACCGGACCCTGCCCGGGGCTCATCCGTTTGGGTGACCAGGTCTCCAGAGAGAGTGGTGGATGGTCACTTACCTGGACTTGGGGTTGGGAGGGGGGAGGTGGAGGTAAAAAGATAAACGATGAAAGCAGTCCCCTTTCTTTAAGCTAAATGTTGCATAAATAGATTATTGTTATGTCATAGATTTTGGCCTGGAAGCGGCAGCCCTGGGCAGTCACTGACCATCTCCTTGGGCAGAGGGGTGCAATTGTGTCATCATTGTATCTCTGGCACATAGGGCACATAGGATGGTGAGTCTTCATCAACACCCCCCAGGGGACAGCCCCTGCATAAATCCCCTGGGCCCTTCTGAGAGCAAGCCAACTGATGGGCCTTCCTGAACCTTGGATGAATCTGGTGTCTGAACAAGTCTCCCTCCTCGCTTCATGCTTTCTTATTCTAATACCTGTTCCTATTATTCCCACCTCCTCTGATTACTTAGCACAGATACACTCAAGGGTTGAGGCATTCGAAATAGTATTTCTCAATATAAAAGTGGGGTTTCCTAGAAAATCCATAGTCAATTTCCAAAACCATTACTTTCAGTTCTGACTTGTCTTTCTCCCCTGAGGAACTTCTTTTTTCTGATCTTTTGTATGAACTCCATCCTGAACCCCCTTGTTTAATACATTCAAGTTGTGTATGTACCAAGAAATAAACTCATAGTCTCTATACTATATTCATCCTATATATATATGTCCTATATATAATTTGCTATGTAAACAGAAGCCTCAGACGTCCCAGCCTTAAACCTAGAGCCTTTCCCAGTCTTCGTTTATATGTGTATAATATAGCTCAACTGCCACCATGTCTACCATCAGATTCCTAAGGCCTTGCATAACAGGTGCACAACAGACATTTGTCAACTAAGCAGGTGAAGAGAAGTAGAGACTCACCCCTCTGTAGCACTGGCTCCTCCTTCCAGGCTTAACCCAGTATCTTGCACTTAACAGGTGCTCAAAAATGTTAATGAGGCTGATGACAGGCCTTTCCACACACATTCACAGTCTGAAAGAGGCTCTATACCTGACCATCAGATTTATCTTCTCAGGATATACTGAATTTCACAAAATGATAGGAAAGAAACTAATTAAAATTAGCTATTAGAGTAGCTCTGGTGGGCAAGGAGTGTGGAAGGCAAGAGGAAGTGCAGGGCAGTCACAGAGACCTTGGATGGTGTTAAATTTTAGAACAAGTTCCCCTAGGACCCCATATATTTAAATTTTGAAATAAAATAATTCTGTGTTCCCAAATAGTGAATATATCTGCATTCTACAAAATACATTATATAAAACATACCTAGGGGCCCCTGGGTGGCTCAGTTAAAGACCTGCCTTTGGCTTAGGTCATGATCCCAGGGTCCTGGGATTGAGCCCTGCATTGTGCTCCCTGCTCAGTGGAAAACCCGTTTCTCCCTCTGCCCTCCCCCCCAACCCCCTCCCCCGCAGCCACTCCCTCTCTCAAATAAATGAAATCTTTAAAAAACATATCTACAAGATGTAAATATATCTATAATACATAAAAATGTGTATAAAATACATCATTTACAAGTAATTTTGATCTATAAGCTCACCACTGAATTGGCCATTGTTAGGATTTGGCTTATTCTATTTCACCAATTCTAGGGTGAAGCTTTTCACTTGCTAACATCGCTATGGTGACTCAGAAGTGCTGCCAGCCCCATGGAGGAGGTCGAATTCTCACGGAGGAGATCTGGGTTTGCTCTTGTCAGCCATCGGGAGGCACCACCAACCCGAGACGACTTTGAGTTAAATTCTCTGCTTGAGGTTCTTTGGACCGCGCTGGTAGCGGGAATTCAAAATGCAAGCTAGCGCAAACACCAGTTTGCCGTTCACGTTCTTGGGCCAGATGTTTTCCTTCCCTCCAGCCAACGACAAAGTGGAGATGAGCACGTTTCTGTCCCCTCCCTCTCTGCGTGGGAGGGTTCTTTGCCACAGCTGCCTCGGGGCTACCTTGCTAGACCCCGCAGCTGGGACATTCTAAAATTCTTAGTGGCATGTAAAAAATAAGGGGATATCTTAAAATAAAAGATGCAATTAAAAGTTTTCTCCGTTTATGTTGAAATCATACCATATATCAGTTTTGTGTTCTTTTTTTCCATAACATCAGACTATGAACATTTTCCCATCCTGTTAGGAACTTCTTATATGCCTCATTTTAATGGTTCCCATTGTATGTGTGTTTGAAAATTTACTTAACCATTCTCTCCTTGTTGAATGAGCAAGCCCTTCCTCTTTTTGTTATGTTTAAAGTGTTGGCCAAATTTCACTCTGAACTAACACCGCCTGTTATATGTCAAGCCCTGCACGTAGTACTGGGGTAGCTATGAAGAAAGCCAACATCTCTCCTCATCAGGCTTAGAGCCTAGCAGGGAAGGCAGCTATCAGGCAAGGAATGAAATCTAGAAGGAGGGGTGACAGACAGGGCAGCTGTAATCAGTTATTCGGGATGTTGGTTTATGACAGAGTGCCAGATGGGGCAATGCTGGGTTGAAATATATTCGTATTTTTAAGGTTTTCGATAATCTTGCCAAATCGTTGATTCACTGGTATATAAGGTCATCAATTTCTTTTCACTCTTGTCCCAGTTAGATATTGCCATTTAAAGTTTTTTCTTGCCAATTTGTCGGATGAACGTGGCATTTTGTTTTTAAATTAATGTTTTATGACTGAATCTAATCATGGTTTCAAAATCTGTGTTGGTGATTTGTGGTCGCTCTTTCTGCTTGTGATGCCTCCTGCTTGTTTATCTGCTGGGGTCTTCGCACTCTTGCTATCAATTTACATGAGTTCTTATACAGTAAGAATATTATACATTTGTCTGGCATAATTTTTATTAATCTTATTTCCGATTTATTGTATGGTTTCAATGCTGCTTAATTGTTTTATGGAATCTAGAAGTTCTAAATCTTATTTTGTCAAACTTATCCATTCTTTTTGTGATTTCTTCTGTTGATTTGACATTTAGAGATTTGGTCCCCACCCAGAAATTGGATCAATATTCACTTTTATTCTTTTAGTTATTTATACATTGGTTTTCCACATACGATCTCTTAATCTAATCAATGTTCATATTGCAAAAGTGATAATGAAATGAGACTCAAATTTTTATTGAATTTGGTAACCAATAATTGCTATACCACGATTGAATAATTCTTCCAATTCCCATGATTTATAATTCCCCTTTAAATTACAATATTGAATTCCTGGTATTTACTAATTTGTGTACTCTTCCCCATGGATGTGTCTATTCTTACAAGTCTTGTAAGCTTTTTATTTCTAGGAGAGGTAGTCTTCTCTTTTTACTCTTTTAATAAGTAGATCTCCATGGCAAAATAATCAAATGACACTTAGGACATACAGTGAGCAGCAATTTCCTTCTCCTCTATCCATGTCCCAAGACCCCACTCAATCCTCAGGGACACACACTTTTGACAGTTTCTATCTTTAGAGTTTCTGGTGGTTACCCTCTGTGGAAGAGCTGTAACTCTTCCTTATCACACTTCCCCCCAGTCATTGAGCATTTGCTTTGCTTTGTTTTAGGAAGGTAAAACTTCAGTGTAGGGATCTTTTAACTGGATCAGAAGCATGAAGAAATGGCTGGCAACGTTTGACCAAGTTACTAGTGACTTCTTGAGCCCTAGCCCTCGGAGCAGAGCTCTCATCTCTGTGGCTGGGGACGGCCTTGGACCAGGTCACGTAGGCAACCCAGTCTGCTCTAATTTTGGAGAACCTGGGAATGGCCAAGTGCCACATAAGTTTTCCTGACCGTGGATAATAGAGATCAGATCAGCAGACTAATGAGTCTAGACCATAGTTTCAAACTATCTGCTCCTTAAAATATGGACAGTACATCAATGGTCTCTAAATTATTGGGATGTCACGTTAGCAATCTGTTCTTGTTCTAAGAAGAATACCACGTGTTTGTGAGTGGACAAGCAGTGTGTCTCTACTCTAACCGCTATTTTGACAGACATTCTCTAGTCTTAGCAAATGGGACATCTTGGCAAGAGAAGCAGTGTTTTAGAATCTGATTGCTTCATCAAGTGGGATGGATTTTTACTAAGGGCGCTAAAGCCTTTGTGAGTGAAAAGACATGTTATCAGTGATTTGCTTTAAAAAAAAAAAAAAAAAAACCCTCCAGTACCCACCCTCTCCAACAAAATTGCAGATATAAATGAAACATGATTTTACAGCTGCCCATAATTTTTGAAGCTACGTTACTGGTACATGGAGACTCATTATACTGTATTTTCTCTACGTTTGCTATGATTGAACATTTCCACAAGAAAAAGCAAAACAAGAAGAAAAGAATTAATGAGGCTTTAAAATGACCCCCAGGCTTTATCTTACTTAGCTCATAATCTTTCCTTGGAATTCTGTTCTGCTGTCAATGCTACTTAGAACATACAGCTGTGTAAGCACTTGAAAACGAGAAACCTGGTGGCCAGATACAAAGTATTGTTAATGATTTATATAATTATCACTGGATTCACTGCGAGTGACAGGTGTCTGCTTCTGTGTGCTCTCTCTTGGGGGGGTGGAGGAAGGGGGTCAAGAGTAGATCCCCTTCAAGGCTCCTGGCCTCACTGAGCACCCTGGACTGTTAGGGGAGTCAGGAGCACCTGAGACGCCGTGCTGCTGTGGGCCCAAGCCCAGGGCAGCCACGCCAGTCTACACCTGCTGTCACGGCTCCTGGTGGATTTTTCCAGGGAGCTGGTGAATGTCTGTTACTGATGAACATAGTCCGCTTTTCTCGAAGTGACTGCAAACTTCCCTCTGTGGGGATGAAGCAACACTTCCAGTTACGATGAGACACTGAACGAGATAAGGACAAGGAAGGATATGGGACGGGGGTGGGCAGGGACCTCAGAGATACTGTCTAGTCCTCTGCTTTCCTCCGTGAGCTGGAGAGAATTTCCCCCTGAGTCCACAAGGCCCACAGGCCCTAGTCTGAGAATGCTGATGGCCGCACTCCCCAGTGACACATTCTGGTGACGAAGGCCAGCGTTCCTCTCCACCACCTTAGAGTTCCCTCAGGTTTGTCTCTAGTCTTCAGAGTCCAGGCCCAACGGTCTGAGGCCCAGAACATTGCTTGCAGCCTCAGTTCTCTTCAAGTCTTTGCTTCCTGTCTTGGAGCCTGCCGGCCTCCCAGAAAGCCTCAGAGGAAAAATGTCCCTTTCTCGCTTGGGAAACCAGACCTTCCAATGTGTCCCAGTGGGCAGTCTCATCAAATATACCATAATCCAACACCAGTATTTTTCAGAGTCTGCAATGAGTCAGTCCTAATTCAGTCTTCAATAAATAATGTGTTAGATATTGCTTTGGCTTGTTCGTGCTTTTTTTTTTTTTCCTTACAATTCTCCCTCCTGAGGGAACATTGAGGCCAGCATGTCCTTCCATGGAGCCACAGACTCTCAAACGAAGAGCTCATTTTCTGTGGCGTTAGCTTTACTTTTACAAAGGAAGGGTCCATCCCAAAGTTGAATATGAGTTTCTACCTCTTCTAAATCGATTTGAATGGATAGACTCTCTTGCTTCCGTTCTTCCCACTGGTGTTATAAAGGCCTCAACACCAAGGTTGGGTCAGAGTTGGGATCTGAGTCTAGCTTTCTCTTCACTCAGCTTCCCCCGAGCTCAGGGCTTAGGGATCTCAACCCTGAGATGCAAAGCAGGCTTCCTCCTTCTACATCTTACTCCTTGGGAACATCGCTTTTCTCCACTGCAGCAACCCCTGAACCAATAAGAAAAATATTCAAACTTCTAAAATGCCAAACACTGAGTATTTAAAACAAAACTGAGATATATTAATTTTACTTTCCCAAGTCCATTAAAAAAAGGCCCTAGGGAACACCCACTACGTGTCAGATATTAAGGGAAAAAATCCCCTTTTCTCTCTTCTTGCCACAGAGTATCTGCATTCCTCTTTGACCTCTGGTCTCATGATGTGAAGCTGTTGGCCTGGGATGGCTGCCTACAGTATTAATCTTCATAATGTGCAGAAAACTGAGAACAAAGAACAAGAGTGAGGCGTGACACCCCAAATAGTGAGGCTGTGGGCCAGAGGCAAAATGCGTGCTTCCAGAGATCCCCTTGGGCCATCAAGGTCAGGAACTGGTCAGTTCCCATCATTCTACTTTCCAAATTGGGAGTATCTTCTTTGTACTTGTTATTCTGCCTTTCTTATTCTGAAGCCTTAGCACTATTGTCCTTTGAGTGACAATATGTAAAAGGTGAATGGTGCCAGTTTCTAACAGAATCAATGCTGGTGACAAGGGACCCGAACCATCACAAAGGCACAGCTGCCTCCCTAGGTAAACAGTGTGGTCATAAATGAGGGTGATTGAGAATTCTAGCAAGGCCAAGAGGAAGGCGGAAGGTGTGGGGGGGTGATGGTAAAGAACCACTTGGTCCAACTAGGTACCGCCCCATGAACCAGCCCCTGCAGGCAGGCCCATGATATGCTCAGAGTGTTTCAGGTGACTCTCACCCTGCTTGAGAGCAGAGTCAGCCCAGCCATGGCCTGAGACGGGGACACTGGTCAACACCCAGGCTGTAGCTACAGAATAATATCACATGGCCTGCCGTGATCATTGTGAACAAGGAACTCCCTCCCAACTCCAGAATCTTAGTTCCTACCAATTTCTATACTTGTAACCTGAATCCTCCTTTCCCTGGTGATGACATTCTTGTCTCTGGCCCCTGTGGGATGGGGAGACCCTGAAAGAGGTGGGCAGCGAGCTGCTGCCTGCTGTGGGCAACAGGATGTCCCCATGGAATGATTTGGGAAGGTCAGTGTGCGCGGGATGGGCAGAGAAGGGCGAGGGAAGGATCTGGTGGCGTGCACGCCTATACAAAGCTGGAATGCGCGAAGGCCTTTAGCTGAAAAAACGCTTTCACATCCTCCCAGTTACTTTTCATTTGGCTTAATGTCCTCAGGAGTACTGGTCAGAGATGGGAAAGGCTGAGAGGAGAAAGGCATGGAGGGATTAATGAAGAGAGAGGAAATGCAAGATGGGTGATGGGCAACAAGCAACCAAAGACTTAGAGAAATTAACTTCGTTTCAGCCAGGATCAAACTATCCTCTGTACCTCTCTCATCGGCCCACGTTTGTCATGTAAATAATTCCATGGGTCCAGTACCTCTAGGGTCTCCTCTGAAGGTACAGGAGGGGTCATGTGTATCATTTTCCTTTTCCATGGATGGACTTTCACGTGGTTTCTCCCATAAAGTGATATTGGTGGCTTTTTTTTTTTTAATTCGCAGAGTTTTTTTTTTATTCTTCTCAAGAGGCCCCTCCAAGAAAGAAATTAAATAATTTAAATACTGTAAATACTAAATATTGTATTTTAAACAGTAATTTTTAAATTTATTATTATTATTCTTTACAAAATAAGGCATTTCAGGGCAAAGTAATTGCCATTTTCAAGTGATGCAAACCTGTTTCTGTGTGTTGCTGAACTTCCCAGGCTTTCTTTCGTCAGTTTAGAAATTTGTCCTGTTCTCTAAAAGTTTTAACTGCTGATACCTGGGGGTGGGTGGAGGGCGTGAGGTGCCTGGTGGGAATCTAAGGCATCTCTCTGCTAGGGAGATGAATTCCAGCCAAGGTAAGTCAGGGGCCGTTTAAGAATGATTATGATGTCCCGGTGATGCTGAGTTTTAATTAACTGCTGTTAGCCGCCAGGTGGGTGGGAGAGACAGGCGAGTGTGATGTTTCTAAACGGTAGGTAGAAAGGGCGAAAATGATTTCTTTCCAATAATGAGCTTGTCCCCGAATTGGCTAATGGTATTTTTAAAGCCGTGCTAAATTAAAGGGCTCCATCTATCTCGCCAGTATCTCATAGCACATGGGTTCAGGAGACCGTGTGGGATATCCAGAAGAGTTCTACATGTAAATTGGACTTAATTGCTCTGAGAGTCGCTGGAGCTTTCTTTAATCAGACTGGAAATAAGGATAAGCTGAGGTTTCACAGACATGTGGTACTTAAGTGGGCAAACGAATGCCTCGCCTCCATGTAGCTGTGAGTGGGCAGAGGGAAAGGCAGGCTACGATTGGGGGCTCTGCCAATTCATTCAATTTGTCTTTTTTCCTCCTCACTTCTGCAGCTCCGGAGTGCTCCCTTCTGATAGGACCTGACTGTGTGGTGAAGCTCTCCGGCTCACATGGATGTCAGCGGTGTTAACAAAGAGCTAAAGCAGAGGCTGAACTTTTCCTACTGTGAGGAAGAAAGTGAGAGTGAAGGAGAGGAGGAGGCACAGGACAGCAGGGAGGCCCAGGGCCACACCCCAGACAGGGCTGAGGGGCCGCGCTCAGAGGCGAAGTTCACCCCTCCTGAGCCTCCACTTAGTGGCGTCTGTGAAGTTGGCACGTTTCAGGAAAAGGACAAGATGAGTCCAGGACAGGTTTTGAGGACTCCAGTGTCAGGCTTTAGCCAATGTCCAGAGATACCCGCCCAGCTGGACAGCGGGAGCAAGCTGCTGCATGGTGAGAGCCCCTTCACTCCCAAAGTAAGTAAGTTGTGGGGCAAGGGGACCTGGGTCGCCATGATCTGCGTCCCTTCAGCTCAGGGGATGGAGAAGCAGGTCATGGCTGCGTGTGCGTATCTGACCCATTTGCCGCACGGGCTATGGATCTCCTCAATTACGTATTTATCGGTGAAAATGAAGAAGAGTTTAAAGTTGCCAGAAAACAGAACTAAACGCCTTGCTATCTTCTCCAAATCATTGATGTCAGCCGCTATTTGGTGTAGACCACAAATAAATCTTGGTAGGGAAAAAATATTCCTAGTTAAAGAATATTGGAACTGGAAGGAATATTGAGATCTAGATCCTTATTATGCATTCTGCCTGTGAGAAAACCCAGTTTCACAGATAAATGGGCTTTTGGTTCAGCTGATGGCAGGGGCAGGACTAGAAACCTGATCTTTCTGGTCTTCGTCTACTGCGGTTCTTTCCATTACTCCAACTGGCTCTACGTGTGTATGATGATTTACTAGTATTTCCTCCTAAGAATGTTCACATTCACTGTTGGAACATATTCCCATATCTGCTGCTACTGCTCCCCGAAGGAAGTCCTCCCCAGTCTAGCGAGAGGCAGGCTCTTCTGCTATACGTGGGTGAAGCGTTGACTTGTCGAGGCTTCTTTATAAGCTGGGGATGACAAGTAGGCAAAGGTACCACGTAGTTTTCTTAGTCCTTTATTCTTGCTGTGGTTATTCTCCTACTATAGCTACACATTACAAAAGCCAGGGAAGGGCAGAGTTACTTCTCACAGCCTGGTGCCATGGTATGTGAGCCTCAGGGTTGGCATGAGCTTTGCTTTCTGCTGGCTCAGCTTGGTACTTAAGGCTGTCATAACAGCGTTTGTGCCTCTGACTGCAGGCACTGTCAACGGGCCTCTTTGGTTCCTGCTGTGCGTGCACACCACGCCCCCCAGGAAGAACGAAGCTTCTTGTCCGTATTGTAGACAAACTACTTCACTACCCTTATGTGTCCACCTGTGGGTTTTCCAATGGTCCCAACGCCAACCAGTCAATCACCCATTTATTTTTTTGAGAACCATTTATTTTTTGAGAACCCAGTGTGGACAAGGGGCAGAAGACATGGTCTCTCCCCTCAAAGCGCTTACTATCAGCAGAGAGAAGAGAGGAGATGCGTCTCCAGACACTGTGATGGGTGCTTCAAGAGTGGTTCTGAGGGAGAGTGGGCTGAAGGAATGAGGCTCTGAGCCAGAGTAGGCAGGCAAGGAAGCATGACGCGGTAGGTCTATTTCAGACTTTCATTTAAAACTGAGCCCCTTGAGATCAGACCTTCTGCTGGCAAATCCTTCACTGTGTCCAAAAGTGCCCATGAAATGAATGAAGATAAACAACTGAGACAATAAAGTTCAGATCAGCTGTGCCAGGGGAGTGTTGCAGCACTTAATTCCCAACAAAGAATTGGGAATTAAGTCTCAAGATCAGGAATGCCTTTTCCAAGAAAGTCAAGTCTGAGAGCTGTCTTCAAGGAAGATCTAGAGTGAGCCAGGTGAAGAAGAGAATGAGAACTTGAGGCCAAGGGAAAAGCAGCTACCAGGCTAGGAGGGGGAAGATCATGTCACACCTAGAAATCGCATGTTGCTAGTGATGGGGACCTGTAAGCGAGAGGATACAGGCGTGAGGTCCGAGTAGGTAGGCAGGAGCTAGATCAAGATTTTCTTCTGAAAGCTTTGAGACCTTCATTAAATGATTTTCATCAGAGGGCTTTTGGAAAATTGGCCTTCATGTGAGGGCTGCATGGAGTGGGAGAGACCTAGAGACAGCAGATCTGTTGACAAAGGAGAAAGGCCTGAACTATGTCAGTGGTGCACAGTGATAAACTGAGAGTTGTTTGGGATTTGCTAAGTGACTTTGATGTAGGATCCTCAAGCCCAATGGTCAAGAAAGAATTCTACAGATGTTTTACAGTGCAAAAAGGTATTTTTATTCTAATATGGGGACTGGCCTGTGGGCAGAAAAAGCTGCGTTGTGATTGTGAGGAGTGACTGTGTATATAGGGTATTCTTGCTTATGTAGCCAATATTGATTTTAGGGCTATGGGAAATAGGGTCTATAGGTTCCTGGAGGTCTATTATTAAGATTGTGTTTTTCCTATAAATCATTAAGACAGTTACAAAGTCTAGTGGAGTTTCGTGTCCTACATGACTGTGATCTTTATCAACTGACCATTTGTTCTTCCCCTGCCTTTGTTCTTAGGCAGTTTCTAGTGCCCAAGGAATGTTATGTATACATATCCTACCTTAAGGGGAGGGGGGGTTAGTGGGGTGTCAGGTCATGTTTTGCCCTCAACTTGCCTTTCTTTCCTCTCATCATTTCCGACCCTGAACAATCCTGATCCTTAAATCGTTGAGATTGTTGAAGGCAGAAGATCTCCTCTTCTGTAGTTTCTTCCTGCCAAATAGGAGCATAGAGATGTCCCTGCCTATGGGTCAACATTGTCCAGTTAGGGAACCTATAGGGGAGTTACAAAAGGCGGAAGCAGCTGAGTCCAATGTGGACAAAATAACTCTGTGGGTGGGCCCCCGGGGTGGCTCAGTCGGTTAAGCATCTGCCTTAGGCTCTGGTCTCCGTTCCAGGTCCTGGGATTGAGCCCCGGGTCTGGCTCCCTGCTCAGCAGGGAGCCTGCTTCTCTCTCTCCCTCTGCCTCCTGCTCCCTCTACTTGTGTCCTCGCTCGCTCCCTCTCTGTTGAATAAATAAATAAATAAAATCTAAAAAAAAAAAAAAAAGAAAGAAGTAACTCTGTGGGTGGTAAGACCCTTTCAATCCTCTTTTGAAGAAGAGTTTAAGATCTTCTACAGGTTCAAAGGAGTAAGAAAGCTCATTAGTTTGTTCATGGGTTTCCTGTAAAGGAGGTGCACGAGTCCAGGAAGAGTGTCCCTCTAATATTACTGCAGTGGGAATACATAATATAACCCAGTATGGACCTTTCTGTTTCGGATTGAGGTCCCCTGCTGTATTTGGCTTCCAGTCTTTTAAAACAAACCATGTTTCTGGGGCTTACATGGGATTGACTTTCAGTCATAGTTAAGTCAGGTTTTGGGAGCATGTGATCAGTATACCCATTAAGCAACATGAATTGAACCAGCCTTGAGTGAATAATTTAATAAGGTATTATAATCTTCATCTAATAACAGGTCCACGGTAAGAAATGGTTTTCCATATAGTAACTCAAAAGGGCTTTGTCCTAGAGGTTGTTTTGGAACAGTTCTCGTTCTAAGAAGTCCTCCTGGTAAGAGAGTAACCCAGTTTTTCTGGGGCTCTAGACTAAGTAAGGTGTCATTTTAAAGTATGATTAAGAGAAGGATGACTGTCATTTTGGAGGGATCACGGAGGCACAATCTAGGAATAATGTCTTCAACAAACCTTTGGTTACTTTGGTGGTTCTTTTGGTTTTATATGGAAAGGCCTCGATCTATCCAGTGAAAGTATAAACAGATACTAGTAGGAGCCTGCAGTCTTTGTAAGGAAGCACGTCTGTGAAATCAAGCTGCCAATCTCCCCCTGGCTATGTTCCATGGCTTGGGACTGGTTTCAAAAGTGGTACGGTGGGGGGTATGGACTGTGCCTTCTGGATTTACTTGTGCCCAAACAATACACTTTCGGCAAATCTGTTTTATTATAGCTATTAAATTTACTCCATCAAGTGTATCTTTAAGTGTTTCAAAGCATTTTTGCCCAAATGAGTAGCCTGGTGTAAACCTTGTATTGCCTTCCATGAGTTATTTTTGGGTATAAAGATTTCCCCCTCATTATTAATAAGCCAGTTCTGTGCATTTTTTGAATTTCCTTGTTCCTGGGCCATGTGAATTTCTTGGTCTGAATAGACTGAAGTTATGGACTTGATTGGAGTTAAGACTGATAAAAGACTTAATATTTGTTTATTTTGTGCTGCCTGCTTGGCTGCATGGTACGCCAAATTGTTTCCTTTAAATTCTTTTTTTTTTTAAGGTTTTATTTATTTATTTGACTGACAGAGATCACAAGTAGGCAGAGAGGCAGGCAGAGAGAGAGATGAGGGAAGCAGGCTCCCGGCTGAGCAGAGAGCCCGATGCGGGGCTTGATCCCAGGACCCTGGGATCATGACCTGAGCCGAAGGCAGAGGCTTAACCCACTGAGCCACCCAGGCGGCCCTCCTCTAAATTCTAAGATCCTATCCTTTTGATGTCCTCTGAGATGAATTATAGCTACCTCTTTAAGTAGGTGTCCAACCTCAAGAAGAGTAATTATTCAGGCTCACATCTGATTGGGGAGTTATGGCTTGATAATAATCATAATCCTCTTTCCTTCCAAATTTCCCCATGGTCATGTAGCACCAGGCAAGCATATTTGGAGTCAGTATTCATTTTTAGGCCTTTTGCCAATGAAGAACATGGGTAAATGCTATTCATTCAGTCTTTTGAGTGGGAGAATTTATTGGAATTGGAAGGGCTTTTGCCTCAATGGTCTTATCTAACTATGGCGTATCTGGCTTTTCTTTTTTTCCTTACCTATGAAGCTGCTGCCATCAGTAAAGCAATTGTCATCTGCATTTTCAATAGGGGAATCTTTTAAATCCAGATCTGCTAGAATAACCACGATCAGTAATCTCTGAGCAGTCATGTTCTAGCATAGACGTATGATGGTCAGGTCCAGGCATAAAGTATAACAGGCTTTTAGTGTTATTTCAGGTTCATCTGAAAGCCTAGTCTGGTATTTCTAAGTCAGCATCCCGTCCTCCATTGGTGGCCTTTGGTCCCTAGGACCCTTTGGACCTGATGTGGAGTCCTCACTGTCAAGAATCGTCCCAGGGGCGCCTGGGTGGCTCAGTGGGTTAGAGCCTCTGCCTTCGGCTCAGGTCATGATCTCAGGGTCCTGGGATCGAGCCCCATATTGGGCTCTCTACTCAGTGGGGAGCCTGCTTCCTCCTGTCTCTCTGTCTACTTGTGGTCTCTGTCTGTCAAATAAATAAATAAAAATCTTTAAAAAAAAAA